TTGTGCTCACTTTTGGGGATCTACAGAGTTTGAGTGGTTTGCTTCCCCTTCTCAAGGTAGGAGTGGCGGTCTACTTTCTATTTGGAACTCCAACCGAGGTAAATTGGTGTTTACATTTTCTGGTTCTGGTCTCCATGGTGTTTGCTTGAGATGGGGTGTGAATGCGAATAAGTGTGTGGTGGTGAATGTCTATTCTCCTTGTCAGTTGGTGGATAAGCGGCGGTTGTGGGAAGAGATAATCATGTCTAAGCGTGGTTTTGGGAGTTGTTTATGGTGTATAGTTGGGGATTTCAACACGGTGAGAAGACAAGATGAGAGAAATGGGGTGATTGGTGAATACGGTGTACGAGATATGGAGGAATTCAATTCGTTTATAAGAGATATGGAGTTGATTGATATACCACTAGTTGGAAAGCGATTTACTTGGTTTAAAAGTTATGGTTCTATGATGAGTACGTAGGTTGGATAGGGTGTTGGTCTCAGAAAGTTAGAGTGCTCACTGGGGCGCAGGATATGTGGAGGTGATCCCACGTGATGTATTTGATCATTGTCCATTGATTTTGAACCACAAGGTACTAAATTGGGGTCCGAAACCATTTCGCTTTAATAATTGTTGGCTTTCACATAGTGGTATTGAGGGTGTGGTGAGGTCTACATGGGAGAAATAGGTCCAAGGTACATGGGCCGCCCAGAGATTAAGAGGAAAGCTCTTGAATGTTAAAAATACTCTAAATAAGTGGAACGTCGACGTGTTTGGTAATGTGGATACCAAGATTAAAAGTCTGACCAAGGAATTAAAGGAGCTGGATGCGAAGAATGAGGATTACTTTCTTGCAGAATCAGAAAGGATTAGGCAAAAGGAGCTAGTGGATGGTATTTGGTGTGCTCGGAGGAACAAACTAAGCTTGTTATCTCAAAAGGCGCGAGTTCGTTGGGGTAAATATGGTGATTTAAATTCCAAATACTTTCATGCTTGTATCAGGGGAAGGCAGCGACGTAACCAGATTATTGCTTTGAAGATAGGTGAGAGAATGGTAGAGGAGGTTTATGAGATGAAAGAGGTTGTGAGGTCATATTTTGAGGAGCATTTCAAAGCTAGAAGTTGGCGTAGACCACGATTGTCACTTGTTGGTTTTCCTGTGTTGTCTAATGCACAAAATGCAAGGTTGGTTGGTGACTTTACTAAGGAGGAAGTGTGTTGTTTGATTAAGGAGAGTGATGACGACAAAAGCCCAGGACTTGATGGGTTTAATTTTGCTTTCTTGAAGAGATTTTGGCATCTTATCAAGGTGGATGTGATGGATTTGCTTGCTGAGTTTCATACTAACTTAAAGGTTCCAAAGGCTCTTTTGTCTTATTTTGTGGCTTTGGTCCCCAAGGTTCCCTGCCCTCAAGGTATGACTGATTTTCGTCCTATTTCGTTGCTTGGGTGCTTGTATAAAATTATTTCTAAGGTATTGGCGAACAGATTGCGTGGTATTCTTCCAGCAATTATCTCAGAGAACCAGTCTGCTTTTATTCCTGGTAGACATATGTTGGATAGTGTTCTAGTTGCGGCCGAGGCTATTGATTATGCTCAGAAATATAAGAAGCCAATTTTTGTTATGAAGATTGATTATGAAAAGGCATATGACTCTGTGGAGTGGGATTACTTGTTGTTCATGCTCCGAGGGTGTGGTTTTGATGAGAGATGGGTCCGGTGGATGGAAGGTTGTGTATGTGAGTGTAGTCTATCAGCCCTTGTGAATGGGAGTCCCACGATGGAAGTAGCTATTGGTAGGGGATTAAAGCAGGGAGATCCATTAGCACCATCTTTGTTCCTAATTGCTGCAGAAGGTCTCAGATTGTTGATGACCAGGGCCTTAGATATGAATCTATTTACGGGATTACACTTGGGTGGTGAAAGTTCACCAATTTCTCTTTTGCAGTTCGCTGATGATACTTTGATAATTGGAGAAGCTACTATGCAGAATTTGTGGTGCTTAAAGGCCATATTGCGTTGTTTTGAGTTAATTTCAGGTATGAAAATTAACTTTCACAAGAGTTGCGTGGTTGGCATTCACTCAGGGGTAGATTTTATTGATTTGGCAGCTTCTTTTTTGCATTGTAAGGTGGGTCAACTACTGTTTAAGCATTTGGGCTTACCTCTTGGTGCAAACCCTAGGAAGTTGGCTACTTGGAGACCAATACTTGATGGCTTACGTAAGCGTCTATCCTCTTGGAAGCATAGGAATTTGTCCATTAGGGGGAGGGTGACCTTAATTAATTCAGTTTTGAATGCAATGCCCATCCATTTTCTGTCATTTTTTAAAGCACCGAACTCGGTGATTAAGGAAATTGTGGCCATCCAACGTGATTTCTTGTGGAGAGGTGTCAAGGATGGCTCAAAGATTCCTTGGGTAAAATGGGAAACGGTGTGTAAGTCAAAGGATGAGGGTGGACTAGGAATCAAGGATGTCAAATTGTTCAATTGGGCACTACTGGGGAAATGGGTGTGGAGGTGTATGTTATCTCCAG